TGTGTGTGTGTGTGTGTGTGTGTGTGTGTGTGTGTGTGTGTGTGTGTGTGGTTGGCATGAGCCTCTTCCTACCTGTGCAAAGACAGCACTTCTAAGTGAGTCTTTTTTGTGACTAAACAGATCAGCTTCTGCTATGTGAAACATGGAATGGAGTCAGACTTTATTGTACCAATCAAAAGAGAAGAAAATTCTGAACTCTTTATTTCATCTTCTTAGGAGATTCCATAAGCCCACAGTCCAAGTTTTGGATTTTAATGCATTGGACGATGTAGTAGAAGGTTTGGGTTCTTTAAAAACTCAGTTATGTCATGTAAACAGGCTTTTGTTTTTATCCCAAGTATGGGATATAGGACTGCCTTAGTTTGACCACAGCTGATAATTGCTTGGTGCAGCGAAGAGAGAGGTGTAGTCTTTGTCAGCTGGAGATAATTTAATCTGAGGACTTTGAGAGGGTCTAAATACCAGTCAGGAAGAATGCTTCAAGGAGATACAGAAAGAGGAAGAAGGCTGCTTATTTGTTCTGCTGCATTTGTCCTTTGCTCTTGCTGGACTGCTAGATATCCTGATGACTGAGATTGGTATTTTCCCAAAGAAACGGACAACCCTAACTAACTGGAACTAAGTCTAAAGAGTTCTACGTCCCCTGTCCTTCCTAACCTTCTTTGTCTCCTACCTAGTGGTGGGAGGTTGGAAGGGAGGTAGAGACATTAAGAAACCCCAAACTATTCCCAAGTTAAGAGAAGCAATGGGACCACCAGGGCAGTGACAGGAGCCCAAACTGCCCACGTTCTTACAAAAGAGAGGTGTACAGGCCTGGGTGTTTTCACTTGTCACGAACTCTGAAAAGGACAAAGAGGGGTCTGAACCTCCAACCAGGCAGGAAAATGTTCGAGTCATTTCACCTGCTGGCTTACTGGGATGGCAGCTACAGACGACATCTCCTGAGACTCTTCAGTTGGCAGAGAAGTCACCAACCTCATCTGTACACCTCACCCTTGATCAAAGTCCACAGAGGACCTACAGCTGTCAGCTATGGAACTGCACGAGGTCTTGCACACCTGCCCCATCCATGTAAGATTAACCCACAAAATTCAAAATTGCAAAGTGTCCAGTGCCTTCCAGGTCAGAGCACCCTGGGCAGTGATACTCCAACCAAGGGCCACTCATGGAGATACCCTGGAACCCCTGCACAGAGGTAGCCATGTCAGTTCAGTGTCCAAGTGGGTTCCATAGTAATGGGGACAGGGACTGTCTCTGAGAGGAACTAACTGGCCTGCCCTTTGATCACCTTCCCCTGAGGGGGGAACAGCCTTACCAGGCCACAGAAGAAGACAATGCAGCCACTCCTGATGAGACCTGATAGACTAGGATCAGAGGGAAGGGGAAGAGAACCTCCCCTATCAGTGGAGTGGGGGAGGGACACAGGTGGAGAAGATGGAGGGAGGGTTTGATTGGGAGGGGAGGAGGGAGGGAGCTACAGGGGCGATACGAAGGAAATAAACTGTAATTAATAAAAATAAAAATAATTAAAAAGAAACCCCAAACTAAGTAATTGAAAATAGCACCAACAGGATAATGTGTGTTTTCTTAAGCTGCTCAAAGCCAGACCCGCAGATACCACCTTCCACTAATCACCATGAAGTTGTTGGTAAAGCCTTTAATGAGCAGAGCCATCCCATGGAGCAGCACGTGAATTACTCATACTTCACAATACATTCTGTATCTCTTGATGGCGCTAACACCCTGGCAAGGTGCAAGGGTTTGTCCATTCATTAGTAAATGAGATTGCTTCTCTTTGCAGCCTTCTGCTCTATGGGCCTCTGAAGTAAGAATATCCTCTGAGATACATTGCCAGACCATAATCCCAACGGGCCCATGTAGAGTAAGAAGCTCTCCCTCAAGACAATCGCCATCTCACAAACTGTCTTAACTCCTCCCAGTGTTAGAGTTTAGATACAATCTCTCAAAATGAATGGGCAGGATGTTCGCCTGTGTGTGCCTGCACACAAATACATGGCCATCCTTGAACTCATAGGTACTCTGGCAGCCTAGACTCAGCCTTTCCTGCAGCTTTAATAGATAATTGCGGCCCACTGAGACTCAGCAGTCATTAATTAATCTAACAGTGTCCATTAAAATCCTCTCTCTGCTCCTAATGATACTTGTGAAGATTTTTTACAAGTAAATATGTTCTCTAGGGTACAATGCTTTACATGTTGGAAATTTTTCCAGGAACCATTCATAAAAGCTTTTCATACATTTCTTGACAAATTAGTTTCAAGTCTTTTGACTCTGGCCTATGGAAATGTGGCTGTTACTCTAGCTTCTAACACAGAGTTCCCCCCCCCCCCAATTCTAGGGAATTTCACTTGTGTAGAGCCCTACACTAAGTTTGCCTGTGACGTTTATCTTGAACGGCCCAGTGCTAACTACTGTGTTACAAACTTAAACTCTCTTCATTCTTGCAGGTGAGTATTTATTTGAGTACATGGTTTTTCTCTCTTCCTTAAACAAAATATGTTTCCATGTTTTTTAGTCCTTTAATCCCCCCTATATTATCCTTCTTTTTCTCCTCCTCTTTCCCTCATTCACTGGTTTACAAATGTTTGCATACCTCATGCATATTGGAGTCATTAAATAAGAACTGAGATAAGGGCAAGCACTGGGTCTAAAGAGAAAACTCAATGATAATAAAAGCACTCCAGAGGCAACTGAAGGGTCTCTGGTTCTCACTATATTCTGTTTTGATAGCAATGCAATTATATTACTGTGGAATTTTTTAAATTTTTATTATGTGTGCTCTTTCAATGTTCTTTTTCTTACCCACAATTATTCTATAGACCTTAGTGATTTCCAAAGTCTAAAGTTTAGTTATTTAAAAGATAAGTTACAATTACCCTGGCAGTTTGTTCCCACACACTGACAGGCAATGAGCTATGAAGGAGAGAAAAACAGTTCTCATGGTACCTTCAATGAGTGACTTCTAAGAAGTATCATTTGCCCTCTTATAGCAGGAAAGACAGTTGTAAAACACAGGGTACTATCGCATTGTGCAGAGGAAGCAGAGAGACAAAAGATAATAACACAGATAAGCTTTTTATTAGAGTTCTCTTTTAAAATTTCAGAATGACTAGGTAGTTCAATAGTCAATATTAAAGCAGTTCAGGCAAAAAAAATACACAAGAGGCAGAAAAGAAGAATATAGTTGGATAGTACGTATTAAGCAGTTCAGATAAAAGGTAATTAAACTGTATGTAAAGGGGTCTTTCACTGAAGTCTTTTCTTTCTCAAAGGTCCAGCTTAGATCCAAAGGTGGTGTTCTAGAAAGAGTAACATCTGAAGAAGGAAAGGGTAGGAGTCAGGGAGGTAGGGAAAGACAGGAACAGGAAGGGGGGAAGGGAGAAAAACTAATATATTTCATGAGCTTTTTAAAACAAAGTCAAGGCCCAATACTTTGTCAGGTAAAATACAGATGTTTTATCTCATTTAATCCTTATAACAATGTTCGTGTCATCCCTCCTCCCCCCCCATTTTTAAAGACAAGGAGAGAGTCCAACAATTTATTTCACATGACCCTGTCACACTGCTGACTTGGTGAAGATTTCAGAACCCAACCCCCTTCAAAGCTTCAAAGGCCTTTTCACTATATCAGACCTGTAAAGGCAAAAAGACTTTTATGGGATCTTTGGATCTAGGTATGGAGCTAGCCCATGCAAGGTATACCTTTATTTTGGAGATTGGGAGTAGAGAAATCTGGACCACATTTCCAAGAGGACAAATCTGGTTTGTCTATTTCTTCTTTGTTTCAGAAGAAAGACCTCAAAAGTTGTCCAAAAACAAAAAGTCACAGAAGGTTTGAATGCTGCCTCCAAATGGGTGGGCTCTTAACATTCTCCCAGAGCATGTTCGTTAGTAGAAAAAACAAACAAACAGCAACAGAAAAAACGGAGGAAAAATGTATGATAGACAGAGAGGCACAAAGTCAAATGTGCATGTTAATTGGTGGTCAAGAAAATGAACACACTCTCACAACTTCCATTCTTTAGCTGTCAATGCCTAAGGATAAAGACACTCAAGGAACAACAAGAGGGTAGCAGAGAGGTCCACTAGCTCACGTCTCCATCACGATCCACAGGCTACAGTTCTCTATACTGACGGCCCCTTCTTAGGTGATGAATTTTCACAATGTATTTCATGGCTTCCATCCCTACATGAGACTTTATTACGATCACATAGGAATAAAAAGCCATAAAGCACTAGAGTGAATTTATCTTGGTCGGATGTAAAACTTATTTTCTTCACATGACTTCACAACCATTTCCAAGCTAACCAATCATTTCATGCTACATTAAGGAACATTTTAAGCTACATGTAAGTGACACAAAGCACACTTAAGTTGTAACATCACAAATTAACAAGGTTTCATCCTTCAATGACATTCTTAGCTACGAGGACCAGAAACAAGACCAGGAGACACTCAGTAACATTTAGCCATCGAATGTCATCAGAAACAAAGGGCACTGGGGAGAATTCCTGGAGAAAAGCTTGTCACTTGGACATTGAACTTGGAAACACATAAGGAGAGACAGAAGACAGACAAATCACTGTACAAACTGAATCCAGGAGAATTATTTCAAGCCTCCTGCTACTACTTTCTCCCACGGGATGCTTTCTTATACACTCACTGTCTGTGTTCAGATATTTCATGTGGAACCAAGTGGAGGGAAGAACCTTAAGATTTGTGTGCTATGTCATCATTAAGCTGTCTATGTACAAATAACAAAAAAGGAAAGAAAAATGAAAGACAGGGAGAGAGAGAGAGAAAGACAAAGAGAGGAAAGAAGGAAGGAAGGAAGGAAGGAAGGAAGGAAGGAAGGAAGGAAGGAAGGAAGGAAGGAA